TCGAACCCGGCGCTCGCGTACGGCACTAGAACCTCTTTCAATAAAAGAAAATGGCTGCAGTCTGCCATTTTGAATCTGATCTGAAAAACAAAATGACGTGCATCACTTAAGGTCCCATATTGTCCAATGTATGCAACAAGTTTGAACAAAATCCATCTGTAAATATCTAAGATCCGGGTCCGGAATGCCAGAAATGCTTGATTTAGATGATTTTTCAACACAAAATCCTGAATCAGATCGTGAAACAAATTGATGTGCATATATATAATATTATGTATGATGTATGTGTGAAGTTTGAACGTAAATGGTCCAGATATGTCTAAGATATATGTTCGAATGAAAGCACACACAGAGGTCAATCCGTAGGTCCTTGTTTTCAGGTGGTGTTCGAAAAGGGACTAATAATTACCTGGTACACATTTTTTTGGTATGTTCGGATATAACACCACATGTACTCATCAATAGTTGTTTTCGTTCTTCCATTGATAATGCTTCATGTCCTGGTAGATACCCCGTAGACTATTAAAAATTAGATATGACAGAGTTAAAATATGAGTTTTGTTGCAGCTAGACTCTTTGTGTAAGGCCCAACATGTAATAACAGCATGAAATTACTATAATTATAAAAGAAAACTGACAAACCAACTTGGTACATTACACATACATTACACATACTGGTTATCGTAAAAACTTTCAGACTATTTAATAATTCATGAACCCAATTCATTTTAAAAAACTAAAAATTATCAAATGTATTCTTTTAATACACTTTGTTCAAAAAAATTTAAACTTGGATTTGTTTTCTAAGTTGTTAATGCATAACATGGCACAGAAATAACTATAAAGCAAATTTAAAAAAATATATATTAATTTTTTATTGGTACTATATCTGATACAATAATATCTAATATTTATTATCTGTATTAAGATTATTCCATACCTTGTAACTTACAACACTAGACTCTGAATGTACACTGTTGGTATCACCTTAAATAATGAAAGAAACATTCATTCTCATTTGGGTAATAATAACCAGCCCACTAGTAAATGGAACCTTTGCAGGTTTCTATGTCAAATGACATTTTTGTCTGAATACCGGTACATCATTATTATCGACCATTTTGTCGTCCTTATCGTATTTGAAGCTGTTTGTGATAAATCAACTAAGATAATCCTCCAAGTACCCATTTGATACAACACCAAGGATTTGAGGGGAAATGTTTGATTATAGTACCGTGAATTCCTCAAAATGTGCAGTCTCTTTGTACAAATTTGGGTAAATATGAGCCATTGACAATGTCTGGCATAATAAGACTCAAATCCACAAGTTGAACATTAGTAACAACAAATTATCCAGAAATGTTTTGCTTGAATATGTTGTGTAAAACATTAAAAAAAAACATTGTAAATTGTAGCCAATATGATTCCTGTTCAATAAATATTTATTTGTTTTAAAAACAGGAGGGGTACCCAGACAAATAACAGCGCAATTTACTTACACCATGGAGCTAAAAAAAGAAGGAGAGAGGACCCTATTGTCTTTCCTGTGTACCACGTTAGTTGGTTCTTGTTTGCTTAGCCAAAAGATAAACAATCTCTTCCCTGTTGTCTGTTTAATCCCTTCTAATTGGATTACGTGATTCGTGTATATTCGGAACGCATTCGGTATTCACCGGCACACTGTGTGCAAAGGCCTCTGGGACGGAGAGCGCGATTAGAGTTGACTGCGCATGCGCACAGTAACAAACAGTACAGTAATCTTCCAACCTAGCGGCGAACCATCGATAAATGAAATGCGATCTTACCGATCACTGGACGTCGCTCGCAGAAATGAAATAGAGTCTAA